ATGTATAGTAAAGCACCTTTTGGGAATATAGTTACATGTACTTATATTTGCCAAATATTCCAATCGTATTGACTATATAAAATAGTCAATTTCTTTTACCATTCAATATTTGCTATATTTTTTATTTCAAATAATTATAATTCTTGATAAAAGTTTTACATGAGTCAGTTATACTATGCTTATATTGTAAATATTACAAACATTATGGTGACATTTACTATAAAAAAGATATTCCTAACTATAATCTTTTTACTATGCCATTATAGTTCCAAATACATTTTTCTCTCAGTGCACGCTCACACTCGGCCTTGTGCCTCTTTCGTGTGATCCGTCGCGAAATTTTCGCTAATGAATGTCGCGGGGAGAGCTCACGAAAGTGTAAAATCTCAAAGAGAATCGCGGGGAAACTCTCGAGGGGCCGCGATCGTCGCGTAAGTCGCGCGTGTACGCAGTGAAAGTAACCCTTGCTCTCATCTTTTCCCGCGCGCGTCGCCTCATCGAATTAATTTCTACATCCTAATTGGAGTTCTCGCGAATGCGTCTTATTAATTTGCCGCTGCGAGAGATTCATTAGATCGCCCGTTTGCCTGACCGGGCACTAACGATAATCAAGCGGAACGATTCCCTTCCTATCGGGCATAGTTTCGTAGAATTGCACTTATAATGAGACTTGAGTGTAAGACCGATAAGATCACACAATACCGATAAAAAATCATAACTTTCTAGTTAATCTGTAATCACTTTGCGCGCGGAAAAGTATCATTCTGTTGCTAAAAGCAGCGACAGTTGCTCAGTTTATTTCTCTTCTCTAGAGTAAAGGTTATTCCCAACAAAGAGCATCTTCTTCATAACAGTGTTAAAATATCATACAAGTTTCAGAATAATTTACTGTCGTATACTCAAAAAAAAGAAGTTATTCTCTTTACAAAAATATTACAAGACTTTGTCGAAGAAAAGAAGTTGGCTCGACTCTGTGTGGTAAACTTTTTTTTCAATATTCTTGATTAAAATGTCAAACTTGCTAGAATTCACAAAATGTATTTTAAATAAATCCAATGCTTGTAATAAACTTATAATAGACTTATGGATATATAAACTTATGAAACAATATTTATGTGAATGCATACTTTCCTGCGTGTAGTAATTACTTGGTAATTAACAGAAAAAGAAAGGCCTCCTAGTTACGCGGTAAGAAATAAAGCAGCGTGATAATTAAAGCTTCTGATTCCTCGCATTGTCTATCTTTTTTTAATAACATCAGAAGTGAGAAAATGCATGTTAAAAATTCTTGCGAAATATGTTGAAATAAAAATATATATCCATAAAGTAACGCTTGCAATTGATCAAACAAATTTATAAGATATTCCGTGCATTTCCCTTTTATTCTAACAATCAATAATTTGTGGTAAATTAACGTGACATACAATTCATCTTCTTAATCTATTTCTTCGCCTATTTCTATTCAGGTTAACTTATAATGAATTGTTGATTGTTAGAGCAAAAGGGGAGTGCACGGAATATCTTACAAATTTGTTTAATCGATTGCAAGTGTTACTTTATGGATATATATTTTTATTTTAACGTATTTTGCAGGAATTTTTAGCATGCATTTTGTCGCTTCTGACGCCATTAAAGATAGACAATGCGAGAGGTCAGAAGCCTTAACCTTTAGACTGGGACCGGGAAAGCCACTTCTGTGGTTCTGCACAAATTTCAAAATTCTGCGCCACATGTGTGTATGTTACTTATACAAATTTTTTTTTTAGAAAAAACCACTTTTTTAATGAAAAAATGCCGGCAGCCTAAAGGTTAATGGACTATCTAGCAATGGCAATATACGCAATTAAAATCGAGAGGATCCCACGATCGTCCACTGTCGAGTCGTACACTGAGAAAATATGTCTGGTAATTATAATCGTGTAATTATAACTTGTAAATATAAACTTGTAATTATAATCACATAGAAAAGCAATTATTATAAATTAAGCCTGATCTATAATATGCTCTTTGCTTCCTGCTTCTTTCTCTTTACCTCTGTCTGACTCAAACCTTAAGCTTCAAGCCAGAAAAAGACAGAAGACAAGAAACAACGCAAAGAGCATATTGTAGATCAGGCTTTATGGTCGAGAAAATAATTTTTTATTAAATTCTACTATTAGTGACAACAACCTCGTGTGTATACTGTCACGAGTCTCGTGTTAGAGCAACCCAAAAATATAGTGGATTAGAAATAACTACAGTTCTAGTTCCATCAACCATTTTCCTCTTCTCAGGTTGCTTTCCAGCAAGAGACACAAGTCGACACAAGTATCATTCTATCTTTGTTACTCACTAAATTTGGAATAAAGACAGAATGATGTTTGTGTCGACTTGTGTCTCTTGCTGGAAAGCAACCTCAGTGTACGCGATATGGAACATGTACAAATTTACATTTTTCCGTCGGCGGTCCTCGTCTAAATGCTACAAATCTCGTCACTCCCGGCGAGATAAGGCGCGAGGCGCTCGTTCAATTTCGAAACGAGCCGCTTAACAAAGCACCGGCGCGAATGTCTGGAATTATTATGGCGTAAACTGGCGGTTTGTAGCAAACACGGCGAGAGTAAGCGGCAATTAGACCTCTTTCTGTCGGATTTCAAAATTGCCCGACGTAACGGCTCCCGATGTTTACTCTGCTCTCTCGCAAGCATCTTATTATCCGCCCGCCTGCCGTGCATTCTCCGCGGTCGTTCGTACGCATGCAGCACGCACGTCGCACGCATGCACGCGTTAAGAAGCCTCGACTAAAGATTCCTTCCCTTCTCGCTCGCGAGGACTTTCGACACTCGCTCAGTCCGCCGTGCACACAGCTTACTTGCGCGGCGTGCGGCCCGCTAATGAGCTTTCGTCCGGCGCACTTACAAAACGGATAATGTAATCATTACGCTCGAGAAAATTGGATCTCGATACAGCGAGTTACGGTATAATTCATCGCGCGCGCACGACGCGCATCCGCACATATCTCCGGGAATTAATTGCTCCGCGTATGTATCTCACTTTCTGCCGCTTCTCCCCTCGAGATGGGCTTACAAGGGAACCCGAACTCTTTGATTTTGATACACTTTTGTACGCAGAGTGAATCGATACATAACAGTATATTCCATTTGTGCCTTATCGCTATTTTTTAAAGGTATGATTTACACTCTCAAAGTGAAAAAGTCGATTTCATTTTTTCGTTATTCTTAAATTATTTTTAAATTAAAGGAGATAAAAAAAATTTTTCGAACAAAAGTTTAATGGTAAGTGCTGTAAATTGACGTAAATAAAAAAATATCTTTTTTTATTGTAAAACAATTTTTTTATAGATATTTTTTTATTTATGTTAATTTACAGCATTTAACTTACCCTTAAACTTTTATTCGAAAAAATTTTTTTTCTATCTTCTTTAATTTAAAAAAGTAATATACAAAAAAGTTAAATCGACCTTTTTACTTTGAGAATGTAAGTCATATCTTTAAATAGGGGTAGAAGTATACCGTTACTCATATATTGATTTACTCTACACGGAAAAAATAATTCTGTTGGTGTTCCGTTGCTCAGGGATTAGACGAAAATTCGGCTATAGGAACAGAAAAATTCCTTTATGAGGCTTCTGTATAGTCAATTATTCTTAGTTGTCTCAATATCGTTGAATGTTCAGACGAGTATTTTCGGTTGCGAGAACAGAAATATTAGTTTTCATAACAGAGATATCGCTTCTGATCACTTAATTTTCAGTTGGTTCCTATTTAGAATTTAGATTTAAATAAATATGTTAGTGGCACTCCCATCAAAGAAATATTTATTGATTTTTAGATAATTTTTCCCTCTCAGTGCGGAGATAAACTTTAACCCACACAAATTTTGACGCAAAAGTATTTAAAACATTTCCTGTGGGAAATTTACTCCTGAAAAACAAAATTTATTTTTGTGAAACAAACTTTAGGTATAAAATGAAAACTTTAGATATAAATGAGAGAGAAAAATGCTTGAGAATTTATTTGTGCGAGATAAAAATCTATTTCGCAAAAATAAACTTTATTTCGCACACTGAGAGAAAAATTATTTTAAAATCAACAAACATTTCTTTCTTTTTGGATGTCAACATATTTACTTAAACCTACATTCTCTTTATTTAAATCAAATATTGTTTACCCGATTGGTCGCACAGAAATTTTTTTTGCGTGTACACATTCCCAACAGTGTGTCAAAATCAAAGAGTTCGGTGTTCCCTTGTTAGTAGAGACACACTCGGCAATTGTTATGCGGCGATTATGCGCGATCGCGAGTCGTTTACGAGTTTCACCGCGACAGGGCGAGTCAACGCGTTCCTCGTTTCAGCATGTGCAACTTCTTCTCCTTCTTCCTCTCGGCTCGCAGCCGGCCGATAGTCCAGTAATAAAACGTTATTATGTGCGCATCGCCGATAATAATATCCCGGGGAAATCGAGAATGCGATAGACGAGCGATAGAGAGCTCTCCGGCCATCGAGAGAGCTATCTCGGCCGGCCCGATCGCGACCCATTTATTAATATCTTCGATACCGGTTCAGTGTTCTCTAGTAACAATGAGCGTGCATTCACACGCGCCGCGTTACACGTAACAAGACCGGTTAATGAGAAACCCCATTTTCTCACGTTACAGATAGCATCGTCGTCTCTCGCGCGCACGCCTTCTCCTCGTCTTTCCACCGGCGTTCATTCAAACTCTCCTCCGCCGGGCGTTCGTGTTTTCTTCCAGCGAGTCGAGGACGGACGTCGGTCGCCGTCTTGACACACGTTCTCCCGAGTCGTCGTTGCCGGGGTGAGCGAGCTCTTCTTCGCGTTTCACACAAGTACGAATCAAAGCCGTCGGGAGCGCGTTTACGCGACGGAATAATACATTGAGGGAAGGATACTTGAACATTTATTCGCGGAATGTAAGAGTCGAAATTTTTAGCCTACTTTCAGTCTCGCTATTCTGTTCAATATCTATTTTGATATTCTGAAGCTTATAATACAATCTATTTTGAAGATAAAAAAAGGAAATTTTGAACATTATCAAAGTATGATTAAAATTAAATTTACTTTGCTAATTTAGCTCCTACTGCGTTGTAGAATTCAAGGCTTAACATAGGACCAAAATTTCGGCTCGGGAAGTTTATTTCAGCGAAATTAAAATTGATCTCTGTACTGAGAGAAAAATTATCTAAAAATCAATAAATATTTCTTTGATGGCTGCCACTAACATATTTATTTATAAATCTAAATTCTTTTTATTTAAACCAAATATTGTTTATTTAAATCGTAAACAATATTTGATTTAAATAAAGAGAATGTAGATTTAAGTAAATATGTTAACAACATTCATCAAAGAAATATGTTGATTTTAAGATAATTTTTTTCTCAGTGTGCGAAATAAAGTTTATTTCTGCGAAATAGATTTTTACCTCACAAATAAATTCCCAAGCATTTTTCTTTCTTTTTTTTTATATTCTTTCTTTCTTTCTTTTTATATCCAAAGTTTTCATTTTATAAAGTTTGTTTCACAAAAATAAATTTTGTTTTTCAGGAGTAAATTTTTCACAGGAAATGTTTTAAATACTTTTGCGTCAAAATTTATTTGTGTGGGTTAAAGTTTATCTCTGCACTGAGAGAGAAAAATTATCTAAAAATCAATAAATATTTCTTTGATGGGTGCCACTAATATATTTATTTAAATCTAAATTTTTTTATTTAAACCAAATATTGTTTATTTAAATTAGGTGTAAACAATATTTAATTTAAATAAAGAGAATGTAGATTTAAGTAAATATGTTGACACCCATGAAAGAAATATTTGTTGATTTTAAGATAATTTTTCTCTCAGTGTGCGAAATAAAGTTTATTTCTGCGAAATAGATTTTCATCTCACACAAATAAATTCTCAAGCATTTTTCTCTCATTTATATCTAAAATTTTCATTTTATACCTAAAGTTTGTTTCACAAAAATAAATTTTATTTTTCAGGAGTAAATTTCCCACAGGAAATATTTCAAATACTTTTGCGTCAATTTATTAATGTATGATGATTTCGCGGAAATAAACTTTATCTCACAGAAATGATGATTTCACATTCCGAAAACAAATTTTCAAGCATTTTTTCCTCTGGCGGCGCCACTTTAAAAAAGTGACACGTTTATTTTTAAGTGACAACCGAGTGAGGACCATCAGCAGGTGTCCGTTCGATCTCGAGAGCGTGCACCAATCATTGCGGGCGTAATTTTGCCGAAGTGAGAAGTAAAAAAAGGAAAGGTACTCTTCGCATGCGACACGTGCTTTAAACTATCGTGTGGTTTTGAAAAGAAAAACACTTATCGTGCTTCCCGGAATCACGTTGCGTCACGAGTAGTCGCGATTGGCCTCTGTCCTGTAAGCCATTACGGCGCACACGTGTGCGTCCGCAGCGAGAGCGTTTATCGTTGACGTGGATTAGCATCGCCTGGAATCGTGTAGACCGCGGCGAGAATGCCGCGTACAAAAAGCGACATCGATCCGTGTTACATTAAATTGCGCAAAAAGCCGCGCGCGCGTTTAATATGACGTTTAAAACGACTTATTAACGTGCTATCGGTTGTTCCGCTAATTACGCGATCGGGGATCCGCTTTGCTTCACACACCCGAATACAGCGAAGAGCGACTGATCGATCCTCGAGCATTTCTTTCTCATTTATATACAAAGTTCTCATTTTATATCTAAAGTTTGTTTCACAAAAATAAATTTTGTTTTTCAGGAGTAAATTTCTTACAGGAAATGTTTTAATATACTTAACATTTATTTGTGTGGGTTAAAGTTTATCTCTGCACTGAGAGAAGAATTATCTTAAAATCAACATATTTCTTTGATGAGTTTCATTAACATATTTACTTAAATCTACATTCCTTTTATTTAAGCTAAATATTGTTTATTTAAATCAGGCAAGCAATATTTGATTTAAATAAAGAGCATGTAGATTTAAGTAAATATATTAATGACATGAGAGAAATATTTGTTGATTTTAAGATAATTTTTCTCTCATTATGTGAAATAGACTTTTATCTCGCACAAATAAATTCTCAAACATTTTCTCACTTATATCCAAAGTTCTCATTTTATACCTAAAGTTTGTTTCACAAAAATAAATTTTGTTTTTCAGAAGTAAATTTCTTACAGGAAATGTTTTAATATACTTAACATTTATTTGTTTGGGTTAAAGTTTATCTCTGCACTGAGAGAAAAATTATCTTAAAATCAACATATTTCTTTGATGAGTTTCATTAACATATTTACTTAAATCTACATTTCTTTTATTTAAGCTAAATATTGTTTATTTAAATCAGGCAAGCAATATTTGATTTAAATAAAGAGCATGTAGATTTAAGTAAATATATTAATGACATGAGAGAAATATTTGTTGATTTTAAGATAATTTTTCTCTCATTATGTGAAATAGACTTTTATCTCGCACAAATAAATTCTCAAACATATTCTCACTTATATCCAAAGTTCTCATTTTATACCTAAAGTTTGTTTCACAAAAATAAATTTTTTTTTTCAGAAGTAAATTTCTTACAGGAAATGTTTTAATATACTTAACATTTATTTGTTTGGGTTAAAGTTTATCTCTGCACTGAGAGAAAAATTATCTTAAAATCAACATATTTCTTTGATGAGTTTCATTAACATATTTACTTAAATCTACATTTCTTTTATTTAAGCTAAATATTGTTTATTTAAATCAGGCAAGCAATATTTGATTTAAATAAAGAGAATGTAGATTTAAGTAAATATATTAATGACATGAGAGAAATATTTGTTGATTTTAAGATAATTTTTCTCTCATTATGTGAAATAGACTTTTATCTCGCACAAATAAATTCTCAAACATTTTCTCACTTATATCCAAAGTTCTCATTTTATACCTAAAGTTTGTTTCAAATCAACATATTTCTTCGATGGGTGTCATTAACATATTTACTTCAATCTATATTCTTTTTATTTAAACCAAATGTTGCTTACCTGATTTAAATAAGCAATATTTGGTTTAAATAAAGATAATTTAGATTTAAATAAATATGTTAATGACATCAAAGAAATATGTTGATTTTAAGATAATTTTTCTCTCAGTGTGCGAAATAAAATTTATTTCTGCGAAATAGACTTTTATATTCCATAAATAAATTCTCAATCATATTTTTTTCATTTATATCCAAGATTCTTATTTTACACCTAAAGTTTGTTTCACAAAAATACATTTTGTTTTTCAGGAATAAATTTCCCACAGGAAATACTTTTCAATACTTTGCGTCAAAATTTATTTGTGTGAAATGACTTCGCGGAAATGAACTTTAAAACTCGAGCCTTCGTTTTACGCCTTGTTACGAGGTAACACACAAACGAGACAATACGATGACAGGTAGCTCGCGCGGAATCGGCCGAAAAAGAGAGAGAGAAAAGAGCCGGCTCCCGTGGTAATGACAGTTGAATATTTCGTACGTATGAAAAGCAAATAGCAAACGGCATCGAACACCCGGCGAGCGCGAAATCCTGTTGGCGTAATAACGTTGTAATATCAAAGAGCGCTGCTTGAGATTGCTCGCGCGCAAAAAAGAAGCCGCAATCACACTTTGATCTTTCTCTCTCTCTCCCTCGCCATCTCGTGATAGAAGTAAACGCGGCATAATAAACGCAGAACGCCGACGGGCGTGTTTAGTCGCTATTTTAAAATACGATATATGTGCCCTTCGCGTACGAGGAATTTCAAGTGGAATGACGATCTCTGAGTAGGCGAGAACGAGAAGCGCTCCACGTCGGGGATTACATAATTAAGTCCGCGTCTCTATCCACGCGTAATGGAAGATTGCGGTTTCTGCATTCGCACCCCCGTCCGATGAATGCTCGGGAGCGGCGATGAATCATCTAGTTCATCGCGCTCGGACGAGAAAGCGCATTAGTGATTCCGACACCGCGCGGCTTCGGTCTTTTTTAACACACTCGTCTATGAGGAATACACAGTTAGGTCGGCGAGTTGTCCCTCGGACGAAGGAGACTCGAAACGTGACGCAAATCAAGACAACACGCGGAGAATGCAAAAGCTAGTCCATTAAAACGGACGAGAGTGTGGGAATAAAACCTGTCGAGAGTCGTAAAACAAAATCGTAATCTCGAGAGACACTCGGGGGACTTCATGAATGTTGCTAACACGAATTGAATATCTCCGAGGCATTTTTTGTGAAATTTTCATTAAATTTAGATTTCGTGAATTCTAAAAGCCTCGGGTTTTCTGAAGCTAACTTATTTGTTGAACAATTTTGTAACTCCATTTTGGAATTGCAAATGGAATTCGGGATCTCCTCGGAAAGACGAACGCTCGATCTCACTCTCGCACTTTTATCCGCCGATTTACGCTCGCGATTTCCGCCGATCTTCTTTATGGATGTTGCTAACACTTGAATATCTTCGCATTTTTCGTGAAATTTTCATTAAATTTAGATCTCGTGAATTGCAAATGGAATTCGGGATCTCCTCGAAAAGACGAACGCTCGATCTCACTCTCGCACTTTTATCCGCCGATTTACGCTCGCGATTTCCGCCGATCTTCTTTATGGATGTTGCTAACACTTGAATATCTTCGCATTTTTCGTGAAATTTTCATTAAATTTAGATCTCGTGAATTGCAAATGGAATTTGGGATCTCCTCGGAAAGACGAACGCCGCCCGATCTCACTCTCGCACTTTTATCCGCCGATTTACGCTCGCGATTTCCGCCGATCTTCGACGTCGCGGTGTTCGACACGGAATTGGATACGAGGCGACCGTGTCGTGAGATGCTTTTCGGGATAACGCGGCTCTCTCGTCCGCATCCTCGCGTTTCCGACATCGCTATTTCTCAGCGTCGTAGCCGCGGGCGCGGAACAATCGGACTCACACGAACTGACTCTCTTCTATGCGCCTAACACACGCTTTGAACGCGCAGCTCGTTTGTTTCGCGTCACTTCGCGCACTGCAAAAACTCCTTTGGCGAATCAACAAACCGACTAACCAACAATCAACCAACCGACCACACCGACGAGTAATCGTCACACTGCCGTGTGATACTTATCGATCGCGTCGGCGCGACACAAAACACGCACGCACTTATCGTCACGAGTTCCACGGGACGTCGCGAGGTAAACACTGCGACCTCGACACCGCGAAATGATCGCACAGCAAGAGTCGGACGCGTCGCAATTGCGGCGCACAAGGGAAGGCGAAGTGTGTCCGATTCTCGACGCCGGAAGACGCGACGCGCCGCGCGCTTCCTGGACGAGAGACTCCGGACGCGATCACTGTCGCGTGTGTTCCGCACACGAGCCACTGTGGCGAGGCCGAAAGGAGGAAAGCAAGAACAAAAGAACGCGCCGCGTGCCGCATCGAGTGCGATACGAGGCATCGGCGAGCGCGTCCGTCTCTCACGTTGCTAAACGCCGACTCGTTTACACTCGGCCGACTACTCCCGGGAGTAAGCGCTTATGCGCGCGGAACGCGAGTAAAGCAGAAGGAGGGGGTCCCACGCGAACCCTCCCCTATCGACGGTGTCCCACGCCGCTTGGAAGGGGCCAAAAGCCGCAGGGACAGCACACGGGGGACGCGCGGCCGTCGCCGTTGCACGTTCGCCGATTCCGGAAAATCAATGCCGCCGATGCCACATCGCGAACTGTGTCATCGGGGACAATGGAACGCTCGCGAAAACACTGCCTAGATGAGGTCGGCCGGTGTGACCTCGCTTGAGGGGACTGGAGGGTCAGGGATTGCCTGGAAACCGTTTGCTTGTTCCTTCACGATTCGTTATGGCGAACTGAACGAATGTGCGAAAGTGTTATTTTGACGGGTATTTATGCAACATGTAAAGAGAAGGAAAATATAATTTTGATGAGCAAATACTCAGTATAAGTGTATTGGTGCATGCAGTTAAGATAGGTTTCGTTTTTTTCTTTTCAAGGTCATTTTGCAGTGATATCTTGACACTCGGCGATTCAATTAACCCATTGAGGCCCGAGAGAAAACACTGTTAAATATTGGAGGGTCAAGTTTAAACCAATTTCTTGAGTTAAATAATATTTAGTTATCTTTAACTATTACGTGTGTCAAAATTTACTATTTTAATACAAAACGTGTGTTTAAAAAACAACCACATCTAATCGACCCATTTAAAGCAATATTAAGTCATTTTTTACTAAAACAAAGGTTACATTAACGTGCACATAATAAAAAATAAACTAAATTTTAGTCAAATTTAATACATTTCTTAAGTTAAACTATTTAACTCCATTACATTAGTTAAATTAACGACATATTTAGTAGGAGCAGTGGCGACTTATAGGAATGGTTAAAAATAACTCAAATTGAGTATAATTTGACACTACGGATTTAACAGTGTAAGGATAGGCTTTCAAGAACCATCTAAATTAGGGCAAAACGTCGAAATTTGTTAAAAAGTGAGAAAGAAATTTGTGTTGGATCTCAAAATTCAAGGTGGCGGACCAATATGTCGGCCCGAAAATTTGAAATTTTGACCTATTTGAGTGAAAATCCGTATAGGGATAGTAATTTTATACTGAAGCCTTTTCATAATTTTTACACGAAAATTATCACTTTCCTTCTCATTGTTAATTTTGATCTCATTTCAAACTATGTTATCATAAAAAAATTTTATTGAAATCTTTAATCATAAACTCTGAACAAAAATTTTCTTTCTTCTCATTTTTCCAAATTCTGATTTTATCTGAAGTTACTATAAAAAAGTTTTCTTAAGTTTTCACGTTTGATTTGCTTTGTTTGCGTTTTCAATTATCAATCAACGTATAATCAATCACATGAAAGTTCGATCCATAATTAATTTCATGAATCGATGCAATTATTTGTGATTTTATACATGACGATTGATTAATTCTGGTTGCTAATTTACCGATTACTTTAGCCAAAGGAAATTTTCATCGATCAATGCCCAATACTGTTGTAAAATAGCACAGATATCTTCTTCCGATATCTTACTCGGACTGTGAATATTTTCCGCGTTAGTTTCTATTCTCTATTCCCCCCTTTCTCTTTCTCTCTCTCTCTCTCTCTCTCTCTCTCTCTCTCTCTCTCTCTCTCGAATATCTGTTATCGTCTATATAATGAATGCTATAATTTTCGAACATTTCGTCAGGTTCACGATTTCTTTCTCTCCTCCACCGATAATCTTCGTCCAATCCACGTGCATCGAATGCAGCGGAGAGACGAGCGCCCGTCATCATCCCGTCGTATTAAAGTCATAATTAAGGCTCCCGATTGTCGGCACATTTGGCTGCCTCCGGCAAAAAACTGCGATTATACATATACCGAATATTGCGCGCGCGATGCGAAAGGGCGACCGAGCTCGATCAGATATACCTTGGGAGAGCCGGATTGTTCCGTCAATAATTACGGGCTAATTGGCGCACGGGGTAATTAACGCCGATCTCTTCGACGAGAAGCAGCCAAAAGTCCATTCGTGTCGCAATCGCGAAGAGAAAGAAAGAGAGAGAGAGAGAGAGATGCGTGCCCGACGTGCGTTAAGCTTTCTGCTTTCGACCGCTCTTTGCATTCAAGCGCGAAGGTGCGAACTGCATCTCACCGGCGCGGTGCTCTCCATTGAGGAGGATTAACGTTCAAGAGATCGGCCGAGTTTCACCGTCCAGAGTATAAAGGACGCCGGGCAATCGAGATCGGGCTCTGACTAATCGATTTATCCAGCCGGCCCGAAGACCCGAAAACGTCATTTGCCAGATTCCCGTGTGGCCAGGGCCGGCTCCGGTGACGAATTCAATGCAATTTCGCCGCGAGATTAATTATTCTCTCTCTCTCTCTCTCCCTTTTTTCATTCTCTCTTTCAATTCACCGCGATTTTTCGTTCGAGCCATGTCGACTAAAAGTGAGAATGAAAGCGACAGTAATGGGAAAATAAACGCAGATAACAAACGTCCAAGTTACCACGCAAAAAATATACGGTGGATGAAACAATTATATCTGTTGGCACATTGAATGACACAGTCATCGATGGCACTAGGATTATCCTATCAAAGTTTATCCACAAAGAGAGGTGGACTCTATATACAGTATTCTCCATAAGTTTGGAAACGCAGATAAAGATAAGGATATTAAAATGGATATTTTATAATAATTTTGTTTTGCACTTATATTCACAAGATCGGCATTTATGTCATTTGATAGAGCAAAGTTTCAAGTTTAAGAATTCATTTTTTGTATTGCTGTACGATGAAGTTTAATGGAGTCATGAGCAAACAAAGTAAAAATGCTCAATTTTACTTTAACCCTTAGTAGTACGGAAACAAAGTAAAGCAAACAAAGTAAAAATACTCAATTTTACTTTAACCCTTAGTAGTACGGAAACACAAAATTGTAGAGAAATTTTTTCACAAAATAAATTGTATAGAAAACTTCAATCTTTTACACGGAAGAAACTAAAATTTTCTCAGATTTCTTCTTGCGTTCGTGGCATGTCTTAATCGAAGTCAAAATGTTCAAATTTACTTTAACTCTTAGTAATATGGAAACACAAAATTGTAGAGAAATTTTTTCAGAAAGTAAATTATATAGAAAATTTCAATCCTTTACATGAAAGAAACTAAAATTTTCTCAGATTTCTTCTTGCGTTCGTGGCATGTCTTAATCGACGTTAAAATGCTCAAATTTACTTTAATTTTTAGTAATATGGAAACACAAAATTGTAGAGAAATTTTTTCAGAAAGTAAATTATATAGAAAATTTCAATCCTTTACATGGAAGAAACTAAACTTTTCTCAGATTTTTTCTTGCGTTTGAGGCATGTCTTAAATTAAGAAGAAAATTTTCCATTTTGTCCATTTTGTTTTCATAAAAACTAAATTTACATTAGCGATTGACGATTGAAGATTAGATTTTGACGAATCAACGAGCTTCAGTCTTGGCTTGTTTTGTCCCAATTGATCAAGTTTCAATCTTCAATCGCCAATCGCTAGTGTAACTTAACCTTTATAAAAACGAAATGGAAAATTTTCTTCTCAATTTGAGACATACCACAAACGCAAGAAAAAATCTGAGAAAACTTTAGTTTCTTTCGTGTAAAAGATTAAAGTTTTCAATGCAATTTATTTTGTGAAAAAATTTCTCTACAATTTTCCGTATTACTAAGAGCGTTTCATCGCACAGCAATACAGAAAATGGATTCTTAAAACTTCGCTCTATCAAATGACATACGATTTTGCAAATATAAGTGCGAAACAGAATTATTATAAAATATCCATCTTAATATCCTTGTTTTAGCCTATGTTTCCAAACTTATATCGAAGATACTGCACGGAGAAAAATAATTTGCTGGCCCAGCAAATTTTCTGCTGGTTTCTAGCAAAACTTTTTCGTTATTATATGGACAGCAAAAAGATTTGCTAAAAGTACTATTTGCTGGATATAATTTGGATATAATTTGCTGAATCTACAAATTATTTTGCTACAAGAATCATGATAGATTTATATAAACAGTTTTGTTTCGATAGCAAATAAATTTGCTAAGGATACATTATTTTGCACCGATAGCAAATTAACATGATTCTTAGGACAAATACACTCAACAAATTTTTTTTATCCTGACAACGAAACTACTTCTGCTCTGATAAGAAATAATTTGTAAAATTAGTTACGTCAATTAAATTTTTTTGCTGTTACTACGAATATGCAGTAACGACGATTTTGCTAAAAATCTATTTTTCTCCGTGTTACATCCTATAATTCCCAAATAAATTTCTAAGTACAATTTGGTTCAGTCTATGATCCTTCGCGTTTCGACTCGTACAAATGTATTTCAAGCCCGATCCGGCTACATTGAGAGAAAAATGTATGATATTTGGAATTATAATGGCATAGTAAAAAGATTATAGTTAGGAATATCTTTTTTATAGTAAATGTCACCATAATGTTTGTAATATTTACAATATAAGCATAGTATAACTGACTCATGTAAAACTTTTACCAAGAATTATAATTATTTGAAATAAAAAACATAGTAAGGTAGCAAATATTAAATGGTAAGAGAAATTAACTATTTTATATAGTCAATA